AAAAAAAAAAAAAAAAAAAAAAAAAAAAAAAAAATGAAATAATTTGCTGTGTCACGCAAAAGCATGCAAGAAAGCTAAAAATGGATGGATACACATGAACAAATTGCCATGTGCGTTGAATTTTTTTTTTTTTTTTTTTTTTTACTTCGAGTTCGTTTGTGTTATCTTCCCGCGTTTTTTTTGTTTCTTTATCTGTCTGCTTCGTCTGTTTTGTCCACTTCGTCTGTTTTGTCCACTTTGTCTGCTTTGTCCGCTTTGTCTGCTTTGTCTGTTTTGTCCGTTTTGCCCATTTAGTTTTTTTTGTTTGTTTTGTGTCTTTCGTTGATGCGTTCACGCGTTTCCACTTTCTATGTTCCACTTCCTGTGTTCAACTTTCCGTGTTCCATTTTCTATGTTCCGTTTTCTACTTTTGCTTTTCCGAACGGCGTAGAATTATTTGTCGCTCGTTTCGCATTCGCGCGCATTGCTTTTCCGTGCTACAGCTCGTTACTTTTTCGTATTGCCTGTTCATATATTTTTTTTTTTTAACACGCCAAATAAAGCCACAAGTTAGAGATTTTAGCTGTCTGTTTCTTTTTTTTTTATTGCCTGTTCATATATTTTTTTTTAATCTACAATTTGTAATTTGTGTGTGTATTTTTTGTTGCACGATTTGGTCTTTCTATAGGTTTTTACTGTTTGGGACGCTTTTTTTTTTTTTTTTTTTGAAGGATTTCCTTCCACTGGCATTTTGCCATTTGCCCTTTTTAACTTCAACGTGCCAAGTGCTCCACAAAAAAGGTGGAGCATATTCTACACCGACATGCAGTGGTGGCCGGTGAGTGAGTGGTTACATTTGCTGTAGCACCTTCACACACAAACACGACGCACGACGCACAGGGGCGTAAGGAACTTGTAGGCACATGTGCACGTTTGGGGTATGTTAACATGCACGCACGTATCCCTGAACATTGGTGGCGAACGAGCACACGTTATTCTGTTTCATTTTATTTTATGTTCCTTCATTATGGTTTTTATTTTGGATCTGTTTTTTCTTTCCGCACAAGAAGAAATCTGTGCACTGAAAAAAGATCAACGAAACGGAATAAAAAATGTCTGAACGTTTTCCGTTAAAAGAAGGACGCTAGAAGTGCTTGCCATTGAGAGCAGAGACGCCACTCTAGCAATCCTCTCAACATGGCTGAATTGGACAGCTGTACCAGTGTGTGGAAATGTGTAGAATTACCAGGACATGTCGCGCATGCTTGTGCAATTTTCAATATCATAAAAAAAAAAAAAAAACACCTGAACAGAGGTGACATTCATGCGAGCAATTGTATAAAATGCTTCCACTGCGGGGGGAAAAAAAAGAAGCAGCATAACTGCTTTCACGAGAGGTACCATTTATAGTACCTACTTCCATGTGTGACCATATTTGTGCCCGTTGACCCCCGTCCTACAAAATGGTATCTACTCTGCAAATGTGCCTGCATGTAGGAGTACCTTCTCTCAATGCGCATTGTGCAACATGGTGCTGGACAAACTTGCTTCTTCATAAGTTCGAAGGGTGAGCGGGACAGGGGAAAATGAAAAAAAAAAAAAAGGTATTCACCACCTTGTGCAGTGCTCATATTATGTACTACGCTGGTGCATCCACGCTTAACTTGTCCAAGAAGGGGCTTACTAGGCACGATAAAAAAAAAAAAAAAAAACATTGCTCCTACATACTTAACATTAACCATATTCTTTCCAACGGGAGGTGCACGTGGACGCGTGTGTGTTTCTTCCGCACGAGGGTTGCCTATGCATAACCACTCCTCATGTTTGGCTGCTCTTCAATTTGTTAAACTCCGTGGGTGTGTGACATTTCATAGAAAACGCATGTATGTTGGGTAATTCATTTTTAATCACGTCATTCACAATTCTATGTCTGTCCAGCAACCTCTTATTGTCAAAGTTGCTTGACACTATGACTGCATCGAAGGAAGTTCCGCAGCCACAGGACTTATCCACCAACTCTAGAAATGTGGGCTTCAAGGCTAAGCTTATTTTTTCTTCGATAACCTTTTGTATGCTCATTTTGAAGACGCTCAAAAACATTAGTTGCGGTTGGGGCGGGGGAGATGTGTGACAGAGCAGTATAAACAAGTTGGTAGCTACGCGCAGGGGGGGGGAAGGATAAAAAAAAAATGGAGAACTTTATTTTGGGGCAATCTCACACCGTCGATGTAGTGTACGTGTCGCTTGATCGATTCACCGGATGCTAATCTGAAAATGGGATGAGTTGATTTTTCTCGGAGGGTAGTGCTAAGTATACATATGTACATAAATATAACATGTGATTACCCATGTGTATAGGGATATGTCGCGATAGAGGTGACGGGGCACAGAGCCAACGGGGGATTTTATCCGTGCGCACAAAAAAAATTGCCTCTCTTCTCCTCTCCTCACCACACAGTTGCAATGGCCGTTGCAAAGGGGCACACCTTAGCACATAGGAACCAAGTAAAATTCAAATGAGGATCGATTTTTTTTTTTTTTTTTTTTTTTTTTTTTTTACAATTATGGCCTGCGTTTCCATCACTTGGGGATCCCCAGGTGGGCCGCTAAAAAAATTGTCAATCTGGGGTGTTGTAGGCCTACATAAGCTCTATTTTTAACCCCCCTTTTATTTGATGCCCCTTCTGTCTTTGGTACTCACTATGCCGTCGGTGACATGTCCCTAAAAGTCGGCAGTACGAACAGAGAGGGGGAAGGACCCACCTCGGTTGTGAACCATCGCCCAAACCACACACCTGCTTCGTTCGATAAGTAGCTGTTCAAATTAAATGGCACACATGCATCAGACCCATGGGTAGGGATGACGTAATTTGGTGCATTGAAGGTACAGAAGAAAAGGGGGTTTGTATGCCACTTCACATTTCTGTAAAACACAGGCCTTTTTGTCCTTTTTGTGTGCGCCCCTTTCCCCCCCCCCACACAGCCCCCTTCACAGCAGGGTTGCGTTTTTCCCAGATTGAGCCATGGGGGGGAAGGTAATCTAAACGAAGAAATACATTTGAAAAGGCGTTGCTAAACGAGGTTGTATCTTTTTAATTATGTTTCATGAGGGTACACACATGCACATCTACGCGGCTTGCGTGAGTTGCCTGCCCACGCACGGGGGGGAACAATCTTCATGGTATACACAATGGACAAGCGCACAGACGGTGGCGGTGCAGCGGAGGCAGATGTTAGCGCGCGTGACAGTTACACACGTGATAAGTACGCTGCGTTGCAATATGATAAACGTTCCTAGGGGGACCATACCTTGAACGGTGCTGTTTGGGGGCTGGAGACTCCCACCCGGTTGGGGATGGCTTTTTTTTTAATTTTCCATTTTGCTATTATCTATGAGTGCATTCCCCCGACATGCCATCTGCACCGCCACCACCGCACATTTACATGTATACTAAAAAAAAAAAAAAAAAAAAGGCTCTTCACAAGCGACCCAGGGGGGGGGGTTAGCGGCCAACGCGTTAACGGCCAACGCGTTAACGGCCAACGGGTCACAGACCCAACGCTACCCCGCTATTGGTGCAACTTCTTCGGAACCATTTTGCGGTGGCGCTTGCGATGCTCGTCGTCACTGGAGCCTTTAAGCTTGGAGAGGGAAAAGGGGTAGGACTTCAACTTGCTATTGATTTTCTTGCCCAATTCATTCCACTGCTTCTTAGAGCTGGCATACCTGAACCGACTCATAAATATTTTCAAATAGTTAATGGCTTGGAAGGCAAGAGATGGCGAATATAAAAAGTGACATCCCCGATCAGTCCTATACTTAATATGCTTGGAAGGAACAGTATCAAATATTTTTTCAATGTCCTTCTGTGATTTTAGTCTGAAGGAACACACAGATCTCACATCTCTGACTTTCCTTAGGCTTAAAAAAAAAGGAATTATATCTAGCAGTTCTGTATCGTTTAAATCCCCTTGCCATTTTTTAATCGGGAAATAATTTTCAGGGTATTTATAACCAGACACATTTGAATCATCAATTAGAACCATTTTTGAAACCTCCTTTTTTATACTTTGTAAATTTTTTATATAAATTTTTGAACTCACTTCAAAACAGTCTTCCCTGTAAAATTTCTTATCAATGTAGTGATCCACATCTATTATGTTGAGTACAGTATCGGCATACGATTTTATGGAAGTGGTAAAAATAACAATTTCGAAAAAAGGATTTAACATGGAAAAAAAGAGGTCTATATATGGCCTCTTACAAACATATAAGGAGAAATACCTCCCGTTGATTAACACATCTACCTCCTTCTGATGATTGAATTTTTTTTTTTTTGTACAATAAATGAGTGTCTCATCGAGATCTAGTACTAGAGTCATATTGGGACAAATTTTTCTCTTCCTGTAAGTCCTAAAATGTAAATTTTCCCTTAGCATAAGGGCTCCAAACACGTATTTGATTGCATCTTTTATTCTTAGCCATATGGTTAGGTAAAATTGTAACTTGCTTAAGAATTGACATATACATCTTTTTATTCTTCTCCTTTTCATGCTGGTACTAGTTTATATGGCAGGGTGCGACACACGGTCACTTCATTTTACGCGGCCTGCGCGGGGCAGCGGGTTGGGCAGAGGCGGCCTGATCGAGACGCCGTCTCTCTCTCTCTCTCTCTCTCGCAGTGGGCACCTTCCCGCGGTGCGAGCGCGCACGGGGTGTGTTCTTCTTCTTCCGTCTGGTCAAGAAGCAGTTGCCCTGAGAAGCGGTTACGCTGCGAAGCGGTTGCCCTGAGAAGCAGTTACGCTTCGAAGCGATTGCCTGTGCGGAGTGTATTCCTCCCCCCCCTTAGCCGCGTGGGTGTGTAACTCCTCACATGCACACAAAAGAGCTGCCACACACGTGGGCGGGACGTAGGCACAAACAAATGGTTAGAACAGAAGGGCCTCCTTCCTAGGTTATCCTTTCTTCCCCTTTTCTGGTTGAAGGTTTAAGGGGGCGAGGCGGGTTTTGACTTGGTCGCGCGTCGATGCCGTTTGGGTGTTTCCGTACTTTAGCGTTTTTACCTTTTTTTTTTTTTTGTTTTTTTTTTCCTTTTCCTCTTTTATGCGTTTCCTCTTTTGTATGCTTTTTCACTTATCACTTTTTTCACTCTTCCTGTTTTCACTTTTTGCTGACGCGCTTGGTGGAACTCCCTTTTAATATCTCCTTTGGCAATTTTCGCGGATGGCACAAAAATGGTGCTGCACAAAAATGGTGCTACACAAAAATTGGGCTAGCAGAGGCACCCTCCGGGGAACACACTCTTTTATATATGTGCGGCGGGGCGAGGCGACGGCATACCGGTTGGTGTTCCGCGATGAGTGTACCGATGGGTGTACTCCTGGGCGTGCAGTTCACACTTAACGGAGTGCGCCTTGTGCGGTTTCTGTCCCTTGAGGAGTGCAGGACTGGGCTTCTGCCCTGCCGGGCGATGAACGAAGTAGTCTCACTTGCCATCGCCACGGCACGCATTATCCCATGCGTACTTAAATATGTGCCCATGCGGACACACACCTGTGGAACAGCTACGCATATGACACTGTATATATGCCCCTGATGATAGCAGCCATAAGCGGCACCCGTGTGGCCCCCTCATATTGTGAAGGTGAAAAAAAAAATAATAACAAAAAGAATAAAAATAAATACGTATCCTTTTGGTTCATTTTTTTTTTTATTTTTTCCATCTCCTTCACATTATTGAAACGGCGAAATGCCATAAGAAGATTATTTTTTATTTTATTTTTTTTTTTTTTTCCCATTTTCCCCTATTCCACATGGCATCATTGGGATTAGCTGTAGGGTGTAACAACTGGGGTTGGTTAAGAAGAGGTCAGGATGTTTGCCGCTCCACTGCCATGTGGCTGCGGGTGTTTGACCTTCTTTCGCTGGTACATTTTTAACGGGTCCGTTTTTTTGCTCGCTCGGCGATGCGCAAAACAAGGCAAACCCGTCTGATGTGTCACTTGCCCAAATGAACTTCCAACTTGAGCGCACAACTCCAACCCGTTTTTCTACCTTCCCGCATGACTGCTGCAGGAGCAGCTGTCTCCACATTTAACCTGAGACAACGCGCAACAGGAAGAGGCCAAAGAGGGCTTCGAAAAAAAAAAAACAACAAATCGCTATGCAGCATATGTGGACCCCTCCCCTCCATCGCGTCCACGCCTACAACTGAGTGGCATGTTCAGTCGGGAGAGTCTCTCCCTTGTGCGTCTGTATTTGTATCACTTCATACGACCAACGGGTGCGAACAGGTATAGTCAGTCGTAGTGTTCGTATCAGTGGCAGTGTTGGGAAAATCCGATGCACACCACAACAGGGTCCAGCACCGATCGGGTTCTAATCCCCTTCACCTCTCGTTTGACCAAACAGACGTATGCACACAACCCCTATCGCGTGAACAGCTGGCACTATCAGTATATCACAAAAGTGGGTCAACCCCTTTTCCCCTTATTTGTCCCCATGCAGGTGTTAGTTGCGTTCGTTCCTCTCTCTGAACATAAAGCAACATCGATCGAGTGCACATAAGATGCATTGAATAAACAGGCCCGTAAAAAATTACTGCCACGATTCCCCACACATGAAAAAAAAAAAAAAAAAA